CCTCCCCCCCGCCACACACACACGGGAGGTGATCACCAGGCCTCAACACAACCCCTCCCCCCCCACCACACACACACGGGAGGTGATCACCAGGCCTCAACACAACCCCCCCCCCCACACACACACACGGGAGGTGATCACCAGGCCTCAACACAACCCCTCCCCCCCCCACACACACACGGGAGGTGATCACCAGGCCTCAACACAACCCCTCCCCCCCCTACACACACACACGGGAGGTGATCACCAGGCCTCAACACAACCCCTCCCCCCCTACACACACACACGGGAGGTGATCACCAGGCCTCAACACAACCCCTCCCCCCCCCCACACACACAGGAGGTGATCACCAGGCCTCAACACAACCCCCCCCCCCCCCACACACACGGGAGGTGATCACCAGGCCTCAACACAACCCCCCCCCACACACACGGGAGGTGATCACCAGGCCTCAACACAACCCCCCCCCCCCCACACACACGGGAGGTGATCACCAGGCCTCAACACAACCCCCCCCCCACACACACACGGGAGGTGATCACCAGGCCTCAACCCCCCCCACACATGGGAGGTGATCACCAGGCCTCAACACAACCCCCCCCCACACACAGGAGGTGATCACCAGGCCTCAACACAACCCCCCCCCCACACACACACGGGAGGTGATCACCAGGCCTCAACCCCCCCCCACACACACACGGGAGGTGATCACCAGGCCTCAACCCCCCCACACATGGGAGGTGATCACCAGGCCTCAACACCCCCCCCTCCCACACGGGAGGTGATCACCAGGCCTCAACACCCCCCCCCCACACACGGGAGGTGATCACCAGGCCTCAACACAACCCCCCCCACACGGGAGGTGATCACCAGGCCTCAACACCCTCCCCCTCCCACACGGGAGGTGATCACCAGGCCTCAACACCATCCCCCCTCCACACACACGGGAGGTGATCACCAGGCCTCAACACCCCCCCCCCACACGGGGGTGATCACCAGGCCTCAGTGCGGCATCTTCCTCCACTCTGCTTCTCATTAATATTTTGTCGTAATCTTTCCTTCCCTCTCGGCAATATATCTTCGTCCCCTCCTCCCCCCCCCCCCCGGGTACCCGCGAAACCATCCGTCATTACCATTTTTATCTGACATTTTTCTTTAGACGCCTGAAAGCGTCCGGTGTGGACCTGCGCCCCCCCCCCCCCACACTCCCCCCATGGACCCCTCACGCCCCCCATTGACCCCGACGCCCCCTCACGCCTACAGGATCACGCCTCCCGTTCCGCCCCCGCCACACCTCTAATTATTGGCGCTCAGTCTGTTAGTCAGTCATGTAGGTCATGTAGGTCAGCCGGTCAGTCTGTACTCTTGGCTGTATTCTTATAAATTACGTCTGAATTTAGCCGTTTGCCCGTATGGTTGAAAATGGACGTAATTTGAAAATGAAAGAAAATTGAAAATATTTTTTTTTCCAAAATAGTAAGTTAAGGGTCCTCTTGTAAGTTAGGAAGGCTGAAAATTCTCCTAACGTTTCAAAACGTGATGAAAAACGTTAATTGAAAGTTTCCTTTCCTAACCTAACCGAGTAAGCCAGAGGACTCAAACAGAAAACGGGACAGTACATCTCTTTTGTGAGCCGAGTTCATTTAAAATTACGTCCATTTTTGGCCGTAGCGCACATACGGGCGAAAAGCGACGTTATTTTTAAGAGGACGGGTTGGTCAGTCTGTCCAGTTTGTCTCCTCTCCCACATCTCACTTCCACTGCTACTTTCAACCAACATACAAATTTGAATGATTTCGACATCGGGAGTAACATACCTGAGGGCGGGTGAGAGTGCGCGGGTGAGTCCCAGCCAGGAGGGGCGCGGTTTTCTTTGTTGTTGGGGGGGGGGGGGGGTAAGGGAGTGGTGAAGTAAAGAGGACGGAGAAGCACAGGTGAAGGGAAACTTTAGAAATGGGAAGTATAGGGCGAGTTGTGCTGGGAGGCGGACTGTCCGCCTTGCTGACACGACGTGTGGGTGATGGCAGCTTAGCTCAGCTTGCTCTCTCTTGTCAGGGAGCTGTGACTGTGTGTGATGTTCTTCACGTGTGTTTCACCATATATGGATGTTTATAGATGAATAATGTGTTGTAACGGGGGGGTGGGGGAAAAAATATCTTGTCCATTATTCCACCCCCCCAGTTAACTAACGAGGCCATTCCACTCCCCCCAGTTAACTAACGAGGCCGGGGGAAACAGCTCTCTCTAGTCCGTTATCCCGTCCTCAGTTAGCTAATTATTCTAGAGCACTCCCAGAGTTCCTAAGGCAACCTCTCTCGTTCAACACCTTGTAACCTAGGTATTTGACTACCTAGGTGCTAAGACTACAAGGCGCCGTAACTGGATCAGCTACCCGAAACTCTAGAGAGAACTCTAGAATACATTTCACTGCCACAAACGTATAAGAGGAAACGAAAGGAAAGAAATGAATAGTGAAGTAATTAGTGAGGGTTTGGGGTGAGAGGTAGAGAGGTGGGAGGAGCGAGGAGGGTCATTAGTTGAAAGTGAGAGTTCCCAGAGGGGTGGAGGGAGAAGAGTAGATAGGTGTTACGACCCTCTCGGGACGCAACGGGGTTCTCACTCTGATGTTGTTAGAGTCAGATATATATATCCGTTCCCAAGCCAGTAGTGGCTATCAAGGGATGAGATCCGTGACGCAAGTAACTTAAAGGGAGTAGGGAAAGAAAGCTAAGAACTTAATATTATAATTTTCACCATCACCGATTAAATATATAAAATAAAAGAGTGCACAAGGGGGAGGGATATTAACACTTGACAAGGGGATTCTTCACAATGTAGTCTTCTGCTGAAGACTCTGGATCCATAAGCTAGGCGCTGAGTCCTTGGTGCTTTCTTCGTGGCCACACAACGAATTCTTCAAAGAAGCTGAGCCTACCCTGGCCACAGGTCAGCCAAAACACATGTCCACTGGGGCCACCGCCGTGGAGGCCGTCAACCACACGTCCAGCTGGTCTGCTGGCAGGTTCTGAGCCAACAAGGCTGGTACGGCCACTCCACGAACGATAAAAGGGGAACGCCCTAGACAGGAGCCTCGTGTGACACCACAAATCACTCTCCTGTCTTCCGTACCCCAGTGGATGATCGTCTCCAACAGTCGGTCCCGGGTAAATCCTTTTACTGCCACTCCACTGGCAGGCTAACACACCACAGTGTTCTTCCGGGGGGACGACTTCACAACAGCTGCAGCAAGGTTCAAGGTATGGAGACTGGCTGCCTCGGGTAGACTGACTCCACTTCCATCACAGCAGTCCCAGGTCGGCTCTGTAAGCAGACACGTCATCAATAACTGGGACACTAAAACACCTCACTTACGGGCTCGGGCACAAACACCTGACGTATACACTCCATAGATGGCGCTGTCGTCGGAACACCACCTCACCAGAGGTCAGTGGCGGCGGTGTAGAGTGCTGGACGGGACTGGAAACTGGCCCTCGTAGCTGATACACGGCATCCTCACCAGGTGTCGTCGTCGTTTGGCGGGGGGTTTCGGGAGCTGACCCACAGATGGCGTGGTCGTTACTACTCCGTGCTCGGACGCTGGATCCGGGTTCGTAACAATAGGTAGAAGTAGAAGAGTAGATAGTAGAAGTAGAAGAGTAGATAGTAGAAGAAGAAATGCTGCCACCATCCATTCTAGACCATTACATACAAGACAAGGAATGGAACTTGTCTGTATCACAATATTCTCAAAAGATGTTATTACCATGTATCAACTCCAAACATGTACTCATTAATATCATGAACCAGTAACCACAGAGGCTTTCTCACCTCAACTCAAAGCTCTAGGGAACAAAGTTAAACACAATTTAAATAATAAATTCAATTATATTTCACATGATAACCATCATAATTTAAGCAACTCCAATGTTCAAGTTTAATATGCCAAGTGAGTCATCATCCAAGAATTTGAGAGCCCTACAACTTGACTGCCCCTGATCATCACACAACATATGTAAACACGACCAAGTCACCTTAATGCTCAACTCACCAAGTGTCTGCCTATAGCTGGATTGAGAGGGGAGGGGGGGGGGGGGTGGTCTGTAGTTGACAGAGACTGTCCCGCCCTGCCGGCCGATAGCCTCCCTGCTAGGCCGTCTTCTCTGCTCTCCTGGCTGCTGTTCTTCTATCTTGTTAATGCTCTCGAATCAATAGCTCTCCGAGTATATGTTGGGGAACCTAGTAACTAACTCCGCCCACAAGTAGGAAGCCTCAGGCACTCTACCAAGCCACTCCTTAAACGTCGGCATGTTTGAAGGCTACCAGGCTCCAATTATAAGATTAGCAGAAGCAAGGTGAAATTCGCATCATCTGACCTCAGGTCACTTGGTGGTCATTAACTCTTAGAGGTGTGAGATCTCAGGTCGACCAAACTGGCGCCTTCTCTAATCCTTGTCTGTGACTCATGTATCTCTATGTATTTTAAATACAACTAAACCAAACACCTTACAGTGTTACAGTGTGGCATCCACACATATACACATTCAGGCCCTTTTGTATGTGTTTTGATCTGTTTAAGGGTCTTTATTGTATTATTATTTATTATTTGTTCAGTTATGTTTAAGAGAAATGAAAAATTTCTGATGAGTATTTGACCCAGGAACTATGTATGGTAGCGCGAGGCTCTCCAGGAGGGTAGTGTTTCTACTGAAGTGGGTATGACATATATGAATGTATATGTATATATTTATATATATATATATATATATATATATATATATATATATATATATATATATATATATATATATATACACATACACACACCCTGTGCCAACCCTCCCTATTCCCTTTCATAAAATATAATATTAGAGGGGTGTAGGGAGGCGGGCGGGTGTAGGGAGGCACCCGCCCGCCTCCCTACACCCCCTACACTCCCTACACCTCCCTACACCCCCGGCCTGCGTGAGGAACCTCACTACCAGGACTCGCCCCGCCGCAGGTGGCCCCGGAGCGGACTGTTCTTCATGCAGGTGTCTGACGCCGGGGACCCCAGCCTCGCCTTCACCTTCTACTTCCCCCTCATGGTCGCCCTCCACGCCGGCGTCGGCATCAAGCTCATGTGGTCCATCGTCTTCTGCGAGTGGTCCAACATGGTCCTCAAGTGGTAAGGTGGTGTTGGGGGTGTTGGTGTTGGGGTGTTGGTCTTGGGTGTGGTGGTGTTGGGGTGTTAGTCTTGGGGGTGGTGGTCTTGGGGGTGTTGGTCTTGGGGGTGTTGGTCTTGGGGGTGGTGGTCTTGGGGGTGGTGGTCTTGGGGGTGTTGGTCTTGGGGGGTGTTGGTCTTGGGGGTGTTGGTCTTGGGGGTGGTGGTGTTGGGGGTGTTGGTCTTGGGGGTGTTGGTGTTGGGAAGTGTTGGTGTTGGGGGTGTTGGTGTTGGGGGTGGTGGTCTTGGGGGTGTTGGTCTTGGGGTGTTGGTGTTGGGGGTGTTGGTGTTGGGGGTGTTGGTGTTGGGGTGTTGGTCTTGGGGGGTGTTGGTCTTGGGGGTGTTGGTCTTGGGGGTGGTGGTGTTGGGGGTGTTGGTCTTGGGGGTGTTGGTGTTGGGAAGTGTTGGTGTTGGGGGTGTTGGTGTTGGGGGTGGTGGTCTTGGGGGTGTTGGTCTTGGGGGTGTTGGTGTTGGGGGTGTTGGTGTTGGGGTGTTGGTCTTGGGGGGTGTTGGTCTTGGGGGTGTTGGTCTTGGGGGTGGTGGTGTTGGGGGTGTTGGTGTTGGGGGTGTTGGTGTTGGGGAGTGTTGGTGTTGGGGGTGTTGGTCTTGGGGGTGGTGGTCTTGGGGGTGTTGGTCTTGGGGGTAGTGGTGTTGGGGGTGTTGGTCTTGGGGGTGGTGGTCTTGGGGGTGTTGGTCTTGGGGGTGGTGGTGTTGGGGGTGTTCGTCTTGGGGGTGGCGGTGTTGGGGAGTGTTGGTGTTGGGGGTGTTGGTCTTGGGGGTGTTCGTCTTGGGGGTGTTGGTCTTGGGGGTGGTGGTGTTGGGGGTGTTGGTCTTGGGGGTGTTGGTGTTGGGGAGTGTTGGTGTTGGGGGTGTTGGTCTTGGGGGTGGTGGTCTTGGGGGGTGGTGGTCTTGGGGATGTTGGTCATGGGGGTGTTGGTCTTGGGGGTGTTAGTCTTGGGGGTGTTGGTCTTGGGAGTGTTGGTCTTGGGGGTGTTGGTCTTGGGAGTGTTGGTCTTGGGAGTGTTGGTCTTGGGGTGTTGGTCATGGGGGTGTTGGTCTTGGGGAGTGTTAGTCTTGGGGGTGTTGGTCTTGGGAGTGTTGGTCTTGGGGGTGTTGGTCTTGGGAGTGATGGTCTTGGGAGTGTTGGTCTTGGGGTGTTGGTCATGGGGGTGTTGGTCTTGGGGAGTGTTAGTCTTGGGGGTGTTGGTCTTGGGAGTGGTGGTCGGGGGTGTTGGTCTTGGGAGTGGTGGTCTTGGGAGTGTTGGTCTTGGGAGTGTTGGTCTTGGGAGTGTTGGTCATGGGGGTGTTGGTCTTGGGGGTGTTGGTCATGGGGGTGTTGGTCTTGGGGGTGTTGGTCTTGGGGGTGTTGGTCTTGGGGTGTTGGTTTTGGGGGTGTTGGTCATGGGAGTGTTGGTCATGGGAGTGTTGGTCTTGGGGGAGTTGGTCTTCGGGGTGTTGGTCTTGGGAGTGTTGGTCTTGGGAGTGTTGGTCTTGGGAGTGTTGGTCATGGGGGTGGTGGTCTTGGGGGTGTTGGTCTTGGGAGTGTTGGTCTTGGGGGTGTTGGTCTTGGGAGTGTTGGTCTTGGGGGTGTTGGTCTTGGGGGTGTTGGTCTTGGGGGTGTTGGTCTTGGGGGTGGTGGTCCTGGGGGTGGTGGTCCTGGGGGTGGTGGTCTTGGGGGTGTTGGTCTTGGGGGTGGTGGTCCTGGGGGTGGTGGTCTTGGGCTGGTGGTGGTCTTGGGGGTGGTGGTCCTGGGGGTGGTGGTCTTGGGGTGGTGGTCTTGGGGGTGGTGGTCTTGGGCTGGTGGTGGTCTTGGGGGTGGTGGTCCTGGGGGTGGTGGTCTTGGGGGTGGTGGTCCTGGGAATGGTGGTCCTGGGGGTGGTGGTCTTGGGGGGTGGTGGTCTTGGGGGTGGTGGTCTTGGGGGTGGTGGTCTTGGGGGTGGTGGTCTTGGGGGTGGTGGTCTTGGGGGTGGTGGTCTTGGGGGTGGTGGTCTTGGGGGTGGTGGTCTTGGGGGTGCTGTTGTTATTTTTATTATAACATGTTATTATGATTATTGCTATTATTTATAATTATTTCCGTCAATAATATTGGTGTTAGAGTTATTATTTTCACTGTTACATTCTGATCAAAGTTATGAGCAAGGTCACCAGTACGAACACTCACTCCTCATTCATCACAGTTACAAGGGCGTTAGTTTCCCTCATGTGTATAATAATTATGCAGAGCCGTGAGGTCTCTGGGACACCCTGGGGGCATACACAAGGGCATGATCAGGGCCCCGGGGCTCCCACGCCGCCGCTACACTCCTACAGTGGCTGCCTACGTTGGAGGCAAGAGAACTTCTCGTCCTTGTCGCCTCCCTGGTCGTCCACACCTGCTGCCTCTTCCTCCTCCCTGGTCGTCCACACCTGCTGCCTCTTCCTCCTCCCTGGTCGTCCACACCTGCTGCCTCTTCCTCCTCCCTGGTCGTCCACACCTGCTGCCTCTTCCTCCTCCCTGGTCGTCCACACCTGCTGCCTCTTCCTCCTCCCTGGTCGTCCACACCTGCTGCCTCTTCCTCCTCCCTGGTCGTCCACACCTGCTGCCTCTTCCTCCTCCCTGGTCGTCCACACCTGCTGCCTCTTCCTCCTCCCTGGTCGTCCACACCTGCTGCCTCTTCCTCCTCCCTGGTCGTCCACACCTGCTGCCTCTTCCTCCTCCCTGGTCGTCCACACCTGCTGCCTCTTCCTCCTCCCTGGTCGTCCACACCTGCTGCCTCTTCCTCCTCCCTGGTCGTCCACACCTGCTGCCTCTTCCTCCTCCCTGGTTGTCCACACCTGCTGCCTCTTCCTCCTCCCTGGTCGTCCACACCTGCTGCCTCTTCCTCCTCCCTGGTCGTCCACACCTGCTGCCTCTTCCTCCTCCCTGGTCGTCCACACCTGCTGCCTCTTCCTCCTCCCTGGTCGTCCACACCTGCTGCCTCTTCCTCCTCCCTGGTCGTCCACACCTGCTGCCTCTTCCTCCTCCCTCGTACCATGTATCTCCTACAAAACATGTACTCACCTAGTTGTGAGTGCCTGTGTCCTAGACTGTGTCACTCCAGGAGCTGCTGGTATGATGGTTCCCTCCCTCGCACCTGGGCCTCCATTGTGGGTGTAAAAGCAGCTGAGGTTTCCCCCTGAGGTTCCCCGGAGTGTGATGGGAGTTCTGAGGGAGTTCTTGAGTCCGAGTGAGCAGTGACGGGTCATTACATTTGACTCCTGACAAACTGAGCCTAAGGAGGGTAAGGTAACCACTTCATGTGGTTACAATTTCCACCTGAAGGCCAGAGCGGAGAGGGCACATGGTCTTGTGAGGCAGACCGGAGGTCGTCCTGAGGTGGAAGGTCCGTGTACCGTTAACTGGAACGACCCAAAACGTGTCCCAAGCTGCAAGGGCGTTCTTGAAAGAAATTTGATTGAATCATCCCTGATTAATCAGGGTCATAATACTCTTCGTTTCAGTCCTGGTCTATACACTTTATTGCTTTATAAGTCTTAATATTGCACAAATGTTCAAAGAACAAGAATTTGATTTCCACCCGAGAGACACACTAGTGTTGTCCTTATTTTGGTTTTTGTCAGGTTATGTCATTCTTCAACCCTGCACACGTGTGGCTATTACTTTTTAGGTCTAAATTGTGTGAAATTAGCTATACTATCGTATGGTTGTAGTCTCGTTTCAATATAGTATGCTTTGCCCGACTGCCCGTTTTCTATTTATCATACGCGCGTTTTCTCCAATATGGATAACATTAATATAGTTCCTGCCAATATTTCCCTTAGTCTTGGATTTACGTGAATTTACCTGAGGGCCACTAACACTAGTGGCCTCGACGAGGACAGGAAGCCGGCGGCTTGTCGAAGGTCCCCTCCATTTACCTTGATGATCTTTTTCAGATGTACTTTAAAATTTAATAGGGTTTGGCAGTTTTAGCTTCAGCATGTAGGCGGTTCCATGGGTTTATGACCCTGTGGGTGAAAAAACATCTCCTGTTCTCAGTCCTACACTGTGGTTTGTTGAGCTTGAAAGTGTAACAAACTAGGCTTGTTGTAAGAATTATCCAGAATGTTTTATTGACAAGGGAGAATGGGAAGCTGGACCCGCGTGGTGACCTGGGACTTGACTCCAGGGAATGCGCAGTGAAAATAATTGACGCCTTATTCATAGTTTCGTATAATGAATCATCCTATAGTATTCACTTATTTAGAGAAATTAGCCTTCATTCATTTTGTATTCAAATTATATTGTATAGTATTACTGGTTACAATATCAAGATTGTATATCAATATCAAGATAATTATTCTAATTATTAGGATATCGAGTTGTCACCATCAGTGACGTCACGAATCAGGACTACTCTTTATTGCGGAGTGACCTGGCGGTCACAGGTCAGAGTTCCCACATTCAGTAATTTCTCAAAGGTTAAATAGCCATTTTTTGATCGGGAATAGCCCTTCCTTAAGAGGCTTGTGTAATTTAACTTCAGTAAAATATTTCAACCAATCTGGATCAATTCAGTACAAACAGAGGTTAATTGTTAAACTTAAGCCTTGCTAGTAACTTGGTAAAACTTAGACTATGCGGAAGGATACAATGCTCTAGTCTGGGGAAAACCAGACGAGGAGAGATCAGTGTGGGATCGAGATCAACTGGGGGAGGTCAACCATCTCACCTCTCCCCCCCAAGACCAGCACTCCACCCAAGCTGGTCAACATAGAGGTATAGTGTCTATGGTTATTTATTGGGATAGTCAATTCATTGCCAAGTAGGGAGTGTTAAATTGATAGGGAGTGCTCCTCTTTAGATTTTGTTTTAGATTTTGAATAAATTAATTAGCTAGTAATTTGTCTTTTTATTAATTTCCATGTGTTGGTTATATTTATGTGAATTGGTCCTTGTCACGTGGTCCCCACGTGGCCGAGTTGAATTGTTCGCCGATTCTAACACCAAATCGGAAGTCATCTTTACCGTTGATTGTGAATAAATTCCACACTTAAGATCTTAAGGGTATATGTTACTAGTGGGGATCAAGCCCCAAAGTTATTGATTAGCATGATCGATCCAGACCTCGATCATTACTCAGTGTAGTTGGTCTGGTGGTGGCGGAGGAGATCCTAGAGCTTTGCTAGAAGCCTGTTTCACGTCATACGGGTGTAGAATCTCAAGTCGGTATCGTCTTGAGACCACGTGGCGTGAGGTAGGCTAAAAGTACAAGTTTTGGGGTCCCTTGGTAGAGTACAAAAGTAAGAATACGGGTAGAGGGAGAGAAAAGGCAGGAAAGTTCATTAGAGCCCCCCACCCTTCCCCGTATTACAAAACCGTTGTTTATTGTTTGTGTTACATCTGACCTTTTGAAGAAACTTTCCGGATTAACATCCTCCAAATTGTTCAGTATTTTAAGTTTCAATGAGATCCGCCCTGTCATGCCTAGTTTGTAGTGTTGTTAGCTCTGTGCCCCTCAACTGTTACTGACAAAGGAGTTCACTTAGCTCTGGAATGATTTTTGTTGCCCGGTGTTGCACTTTCTCCAGAGCAGCTATATCCTTCAGAGGATGTGGTCTCCATGCTTTGACACAGTAATCCAAATGGGGGCGTACCAGAGATTTATACAATAGAATCAATACCTTCTTTTTCTTAAACTCAAAGGTCCGCTCGATTATTCCAAGGGTTTGGCTAGCTTTTTTGACTGTTGTTCCAACCTCCTGTGCATCTTTCTTTAAGTGAAATATCATATGTTATTATTTCATATGATATTATTTCTTATTATTTAATATGAGGATAACGTACTGGATATGCTAATGTGTTTGGAGCACCAGGTTATCTAAGGTTAAAATCCTTCACGAGGTTGAGTTCTTTAGTTACATATAACTTGCGCGTTTATGCAAGTGTGTCGTACATTGAGGCTCACGTTCTCCTCAGTAAGGTACTGATTGATGAAAACGATCGGTGTTCTCTTCTCATTGCGAGTGCTTTCAGGTCTTTAGGCAAATAGCCTCGGCTATCAATGGCTTTTGTAAAGTCTGTAATGGTCAAGTGGATAACTACTGGATACGCTAGCGTGTTTGGAACACCAGGCTATCTAAGGTTCGAATCCTTCACGAGATTGAGTCCTTTAGTTTATATATAAATTTGACATATATGACGCTCTTTTAAACTTTATCCTACACCAAGATCACGTTTCATATCTCATCACCAGATTCCTTAGTTACCTAAGTCAAAGACGCCAGACAATCGAACACATTCACGCATACAAACACACACACACACACACACACACACACACACACACACACACACACACACACACACACACACACACACACACACACACACACACATACATACATGCGGTCATAAACACGAATAAATACATTTACAAACAAACTATTGTTCGATTTGTCATTCCTAAGAAATCACTTGAGGAGACGAGTAGCGGCTATATACAGTGTTCTCTGACAGTGTTTTACCGCTCCACTTAGAGAAGGTCTTCATAAGAGGCTTCATAAGACCTTCCCAAGCCGCCTCCCTCCAGCCCGCACTAAGCCCTGTCTCCGTGTGTTCAGGGTGCTGGCGGGGGACCGGCCCTACTGGTGGGTGTTCGAGACCAGGGTCTACGCCCCGCACGCTCCGCCCTTCCTGTACCAGTTCCCCAGGACCTGCGAGACGGGGCCGGGTATGCCCTCTGGTCACACCAAGCTCAACGCTGCCATCTTCTACATCCTCATCTCATCCTTCGTCGAGATGGTCGTCAGGAGGACATCGTACTTGAGGTGAGACCAAGTGGGGAGTGAGGTATTATTAGAGCAATTATTTTTGTTATTAGAGTTAGGCCTGGACAGGCCTTAGGCCCAACACCAAGCCCAGCTTATTCTCACACTCCGTCTCTCACAGCTATGGCACCAGACTTGTGGCAACCCACCAGACTTGTGGGCAACCCACCAGACTTGTGGGCAACCCTCCAGACTTGTGGCAACCCACCAGACTTCTGGCAACCCACCAGACTTGTGGCAACCCACCAGACTTCTGGCAACCCACCAGACTTCTGGCAACCCACCAGACTTGTGGGCAACCCTCCAGACTTGTGGCAACCCACAAGACTTGTGGCAACCCACCAGACTTCTGGCAACCCACCAGACTTCTGGCAACCCACCAGACTTGTGGGCAACCCACCAGACTTGTGGGCAACCCACCAGACTTGTGGGCAACCCACCAGACTTGTGGGCAACCCACCAGACTTGTGGCAACCCACCAGACTTGTGGCAACCCACCAGACTTGTGGCAACCCACCAGACTTGTGGCAACCCACCAGACTTGTGGCAACCCACCAGACTTGTGGTAACCCACCAGACTTGTGGCAACCCACCAGACTTGTGGCAACCCACAAGACTTGTGGCAACCCACAAGACTTATGGCAACCCACCAGACTTGTGGCAACCCACCAGACTTGTGGCAACCCACCAGACTTGTGGCAACCCACCAGACTTGTGGCAACCCACCAGACTTGTGGCAACCCACCAGACTTGTGGCAACCCACCAGACTTGTGGCAACCCACCAGACTTGTGGCAACCCACCAGATTTGTGGCAACCCACCAGACTTATGGTGACACTCAGAATGTGGAGCCAACTATGCTTTCCTGCTGTATGGTGTCACTAACGCAGGCTCGGTGCAGTGTCAACTCTCAGGCAGTTTGTATATTTTCAGATTTGGAGCAGTTTTGTTAATGGAGCAGCTCCAAACACCTTTAAAGTTGTGTATGGAGTCAGCCTCCACCACATCACTGCCTAATGCATTCCACCTGTTAACTACTCTGACACTGAAAAAGTTCTTTCTAACGTTCCTGTGTCTCATGTGGGTACTCAGTTTCCACCTGTGTCCCTTTGTTCACGTACCACCCGTGTTAAACAGTTTATCCTTATCTACCCTGTAAATTCCTCCGTGAACTTTGTAGGTAGTGATCATGCCTCCCCGAGCTCTCCTGTCTTCCAGCGACATGAGGTGCATTTCACGCAGCCTTTCCTCGTAATTCATGCCTCTTAGTTCTGGGACTAGTCTAGTGACATACCTCTGAACTTTTTCAAGTTTTATCTTGTGCTTGACAAGGTACGGGCTCCATGCTGGGGCCGCATACTCCAGGATTGGTCTTACATATGTGGTATACAAGGTTTTGAAGGATTCCTTTCTCAGGTTCCTGAAGGCAGTCCTGATGTTAGCCAGCCTTGCATACGCCGCTGAAGTTATTCTTTTGATGTGGGCTTCAGGAGTCAGGTTTACCATGATATCAACTCTTAGATCTTTCTCTCTGGTGAAAGAGGGCTGTGACGATCACTGTCTGGAAACCGTTGGTGCGGGACCGGGACGTCCACCTAATGGGGCTCGTGCGGCCCCAGGCTCTGCTTCAGGAGGCTGGGGTCGTTCTTGCCCTTGCTGGGGTGGTTCTTCTCGGGCCCCGACCACGGCGGTCTCCGGTTCGGAGTCCCTGTGCCTTCTTTTACCAACTTCGAGGTAAACTCTGGAGCTGGAGCCCACCAGACTTGTGGCAACCTCCTTCTGTCATTGTTGCCTTTAACCTCGTTCTGACAGCACTGGAACAGCACTTGGGCGATGGTACTGGAACCAATCGTATTGGCGTTTGACTTTTCATTGAACACTTTCGGCGCCATGGCGAGGGGGTACCTGCTGCATGGGTGACAGCTTCTCCCCCATATCAACGTACTCTGACATTGCGCCCTGGAGACACCACTCCAGAGCGACAACCAGAGTGCAATTCCATAGTCTCCTGAGACTGATGGATGCCTACTACTGCTACTACTAGATACATGATGAGAGCTACGCTCGTGGTGTCTCGTCTTCCCAGTACTCTTTGTCTTATAACGCTTTGAGACTACTGACGGTTCTGGCCTCCACCACTTCCTCACTTGTTCTCGCCGTCTACCACTCTACAAAAGAAAACTTTCTAATATTTGTTTCGGCACGTTTGTTTCTTTAGCTTGAAATTGTGTCCTCTTGTTCTTGAAGTTGCTGGTTTCAGGAATTTCTCTTTGTCAATTTAGTCTATTCCTGTTACTATTTTGTAAGTGATGATCATATCTCCTCTTTTTCTTCTATCTTCTATTTTTGACACGTTTAGCGCCTCAAATATCTCCTCGTAACTCTTCTTTTTCAGTTCCAGAAGCCATTTTGTAACATGCCGTTGTACCGTTCCCAGTTTATTTATGTGCTTCTTGAGATTTGGTCACCATACAACTGCTGCATATTCCAGTTTTGGTCTCACAAAAGTCATGAACAGTTTCTTTAGTACCTCACCATCCATATAATTAAAAGCAAGTTTGAAGCTGGAAAGAGAGGCATACGCTCCTCTCACACTGTTCTTAATGTGTTCCTCTGGCGACAGTTTACTATCCAAAACCATCCCCAGGTCCCGTTCTTTATTAGAGTTCTGTAATCCCTTTCCACATAATTTGTAAGTTGTGTTTGGTCTATATTCTCCGATTTTACATTCCTTAACATGAAAATCATTCACTGTGAATTCCATTTGCCACTTGACGCTCCAAGCACTTATTTTATCTAGATCAACCCAACCACCCTTTTCCAGTAATATCTCTGGGGCTCTATCATAAAACTAAGTAGATTTGTTACACAGGATCTTCCTGTTCGAAAACCATACTGTGTGTCCGTTATTATGTCACTACTCTCTAGGTGTTCAACCCATTTGGCTTTAACTATTTTTTCTAGTGTTTTAATTACCACGCTTGTTAATGATACGGATCTATAATTTATAGATTCTTCTCGACTACCATTTTTATAGATTAGTACAATGTTTGCCTTTTTCCATATATTTGCTAAGATTCTTGACCACAAGGATGTCTGAAATATTAGTTGAAGTGGACTGCTCAGCTCAGTTGCACATTCTCGCAGAACCCAAGGTGAAACTCCATCAGGTCCAACCCCCTTTATTTCTTCCTAGCCCCTTGAGTAATTTTTCAACGTCGTCATGAGATACCTCTGAGTATTCTATGGAGGGCTCTGCAATTGGTCTTTGGTCCGGCTCTCTGAAATCCTTATTTTGTACAAACACACTTTGGAACTGTTTATTTAGCATTTCACACATTTTTCTTTTTCATTCTCAGTAGACCTGTTCCCTGTTCTCTGTCTCTGGATTTTATCCTTTACGTGCAGCTTGTTTTTAATGAATTTATAGAAGAGGCCTGGAGCTGTGTTATATAAGTCCGCTATACCTTTCTCAAAGTACTTTTCTGCCTCTCTCCTCACTGTTGTGTAATTGTTTCTTGCTTGTTTATTGTGCTGGTATGTTTGCAGGGTTAGACTTCTTCCGATATTGAACCTATTTTAATGCCTTTTCCTCTCTGGCCCTCTCACAATTAATGTTGAACCAGTTCTGTTTTCTGGTTCTATATATCTGTTTTGGTATGAATGTTTTTCTGCCTTCGTCATATATTTCCAAAAAAATTACATACATCTCATTTACTTCCTTGCCTAGCAACAAGTCTGTCCAATTAAATTCATTAACGAATTTTCTAAGTCCCCCCTAGTGTCCTCTCTTGAAATCGAGTTTATCAACTGTTTCAATGTCCCCATCCTCTTCTAGACCCCAATCTGAGGTCTCACCCTTCACCGTAACTCTCTGCTTCCTATTGCTCAGGTACTCCCTTATCCACTGGAGCACCTTACCAGCTACACCTGCCTGTCTCTCCAGCTTATGTACCAGCCTCTTATGCGGTACTGTGTCAAAGGCTTTCCGACAATCCAAGAAAATGCAGTCCGCCCAGCCTTCTCTTTCTTGCTTAATCTTTGTCACCTGGTCGTAAAATTCTGTTAAGCCAGTCAGGCAAGATTTACTCTCCCTGAATCCATGTTGGCGATTTGTCACGAAGTCCCTTCTCTCTAGATGTGTTACCAGGTTTTTTCTCACGATCTTCTCCATCACCTTGCATGGTATACAAGTCAAGGACACTGGCCTCAGTGCCTCTTGCCTGTCGCCCTTTTTGTATATTGAGACCACATTCGCCGTCTTCCATATTTCTAGTAGGTCTCCCGTCTCCAGTGACCTACTATAAACTATGGAGAGTGGCAAGCAAAGTGCGCCTACACACTCTTTCAGTACCCCATGGTGAGATCCCGTCTGGACCAACAGCCTTTCTAACATCCAGATCTAACAGGTGTTTCTTGACCCCCTCTCTCGTAATTTCGAACCCTTCCAAGGCCGCCTGGTTTACTTCCCTTTCTCCTAGCACAGTGACCTCACTTTGTTCTAGTGTGAAGACCTCCTGGAACTTCTTGTTGAATTCTTCACACACCTCTTTGTCATTCTCTGTATACCTGTCCTCGCCTGTTCTAAGTTTCATTACCTGTTCTTTCACTGTTGTTTTCCTTCTGATGTGACTGTGGAGTAGCTTTGGTTTGGTCTTGGCTTTATTTGCTATATCATTTTCATAACTATTCTCTGCTTCTCTTCTCACCCTAACATACTCATTCCTGGTTCTCTGTTATCTCTCTCTGCTTTCTGGTGTTCTGTTATTCCGGAAGTTCCTCCACGCCTTTTGTTCAGTTCCTTTGCTTCCATATACCATGGAAGAATGGTATATTTTGGTATGGGAAGAATTATCTTCCCTATTATACCATGGATTCTTCTTTTGCTTCTCTGATTTTTCCCTTTGGGCCGGAATGAACCTGTTTACTGCCTCCTGACACTTTTGGGTGACATAGTCCTTCATATCTTGTTCAGACTTATCTCTGAGGTCTGTGTCCCA